AGTGAGAAATCAGTAATATGCTGTATCAAAAATAAATAAATAATATACTTTAATGAGTTAAAATAATATTTTAGGAATATTTTGTATTTTTATGATTTTTTATTTAGATTAAATGTGTGTCCAAACATAAATTAAAAAAAAAATTCAAAAATTTTAATGTCAAGACTTAGCCATAGCACTTGGAGATAAACCACACATTATTTGACAAAGCTTAAGTTCAGCTACAAATGAGTGTTTTTTTTTAACCTAAATTGAGACAGTTCATTAATATAGAAACATTGTAGTGACTTTCAAGAACATTTGGAACTAAAGCTAGTAAAAAAGTAGCTTTTACAGAACCTTCTTTACATTTAGAATTCTGAGGTTCTTTATATGTATTCATTGTAGATTTGTCTTCATGATTGTTTTATAAACAGATCTAAAATAAATTTTTATTCATTTTTACAAAGTGTTGTACCATTTTGTTTTGTTTTGACTGAATCATAATTCTCTTAAACATATTTAGATTGAAATTATTTACCTTCAGAAAGCCTCTTTCTCCATCAATACCAAGTTTGACTGTTTGATTGCTTAAGTTCTCTTCTTTAATCACAATAAGCAACTTTACGAACTCCTCAATATTGGCGCACTTAATAATAGGGACATTTTCCTTTTTTAACATCAAGTTCTTGATAATCAATTATAAATAAATCTTTAAGTGCACCATTAATTACCGGAAGTGCTTTTGTAGGTTTGCTTGTATGCAAGTTTTCCCTTTAATTGATATTCCTTTTAAAATATATATTTTTTAAATTAAGGTTAGCTATAATACTTGAAAAGAGTAAGAAATACTTTAAAAAAATTGATCTTACCTGAGTTCTTTTGCTAGCTGTATCAGTTTCTTGTTAGACAACGTAAGTCTTGATTGAATTTTTAGAAAATCAATCAAAGTGATCTGTCTAGGTTTATTTTTTAAGAGTCATATTGATATTTGTAAAGGTTTTGCTCCTGTAGCATGTTTAATACTTTTCGATTCTTGTTCATATAATTTTTCTGAGATAAATTTAGAAGCAATCTGATCCTTAGCTTTACCCGAGGTTTGAAGTTTTTCTAATATTTTTAAAGCTAACGTTTTAGTTCTTGGGGTTGGGAACTTTTCCCCTGCTATGATTGGGCCTCTCCTTATTTCTGGGCCCCTAAAATGGGTACTGAAAAAAAAAAGTCCTTAATATGTAATACGGGCCCCCTAATATGAAAATTGTGGCTCTAAATATATATATATATATATATATATATATATATATATATATATATATATATATATATATATATATATATATATATATATATATATATATCATTTTTATCTCTTGCATTTAGGAAAAAATTCCAAAATTGGGTCCTTTTGGCCTATAAAACGTAAATAATTTGCAAAAAAGAATTTTATGATTTTAGTGACATATCAAACCTAAATCTACTCATTATAATGAATCCAACAATGTACGCCGGGGTCAAATCGCAAAACTAAAAAGTGGTTGGAGGCATGTGTGAGTGATTATTTGTAAGGCTAACTTTATCTGATTTTTTTTATATGAGTAATGAGTATTTTTTATGTGTATTTTTTTTTCCAGACGAATGTTTGTAGCAAATTGAAAGGTTTCTCGCCTTTCAATTTAGAGATGCATTCTTGCTACATACTTATGTCAGTTGTTTGGTAATACTTTTGTGTTATGCTGGAAGATGGGAGAGATAAAAAACGAAAAATTGCTGATTGTCTTTTCTCAATTTGATAGGGGATTTCGAGCTATTATATAATTTAGCACAGTAGACTATTATATTTCATACTTTATTTCAATTTATAATAAACATGCAGATAAAACACATAATAATTATGTGTTTTATCTGCATGCATATTGTTACATTTTTAAATTGAAATAAACTACGAAATATAATAGTCTACTGTCCTGAATTATATAATAGTTCAATTATTAATTGAATGCATATGGTTGAAACTTAAAAAAAATTTTGTTTATGAAGTTTTACTAAGTTTAATATGCTTCCAACCAAACAACGTTTGTATTATTTTAGCATCACTTGCAAAACTGAAAAAACACACAGAGCATAAGATTGAAAGCATTTGCATGTTACCAAAAAGGTAGTAAAAGAAATAAATGACACTAGTAAAACAAATAAATGACACTAGTAAAACAAGACACTATCTTAATACTCATTTTTTGATTTTTTTAGTTCAATTGGGCTTTTATAGCGCACAAATGTATAAAAAACATTACAAATTCAGGTAACTACTTTTAATTGTTTATTTTATTTATCTTTATTAAATTTTATTCTTTAGATTTTTAAGGTCAATAAGATTTTTTAAGTGAATAAAATATCATTTCAACTCTTTCTTTTTTTTAAATCAAAAAAGTTACATATTATTGTAGACTATTATTTTCTAAAAATTATAATTAATCAATTGGAACATCATTTTTTTTTTTAATGCAGAAGTTACCTAGCAAAGGTTCAGGACTAGAGTATTTAATCAATTAATCAATCAAAGTAGGACTACATCAAGTGTTTAAACTATAACCAATAGATGGTTTTGCTAGATTTTTAAACGTTATAACAGTTGTGTATAATTTGTAAATGGACATTTGAACAAGTATATATTTTATCATTTTAATATATCAAAAGTTTTTAATAAAATAAAATCTATTTACTTATTGCCTCATATAGTACTGAAAAATTTAGTCTCAATCAGGATGAATATATTAAAACAAAAATATATATATAAAAAGACGTGTTATCGATTGAAAGTTTATTCTTTCTATTTTTGAATAATTGAATTGTATTTTTCTATTTTGTGTGAAAAAATTATATATTCTGTAGCTGTAGCTTTTTTGTTTTTGTCTTAAATTGCAACACTTATTTAGCAAATATATTTAACTGCAACATTTAGCACATATGTTTAATTGCAACACTTATTTAGCAAATATATTTACTTGCAACACTTATTTAACAAATATATTTAATTGCAACACTTATTTAGCAAATATATTTAATTGCAACACTTATTTAGCAAATATATTTAATTGCAACACTTATTTAGCAAATATATTTAATTGCAACATTTAGCACATATGTTTAATTGCAACACTTATTTAGCAAATATATTTAATTAAAACACTTATTTAGCAAATATATTTAATTGCAACACTTATTTAGCAAATATATTTAATTGCAACACTTATTTAGCAAATATATTTAATTGCAACACTATTTAGCAAAGGGATTCAAAAGGTGTTATTAAAACTTATTATTATTACGAAAGAGTAAAAGTTTAAAAAAACAGCATCTCAAACCATTTTTTGCATTTTAAAAAAGATTTATTTTAAATAAAGTTTTTTTTTCGTACTTCAGTTTTAATGCCACTAAGTGTTAATAAAATTTAATGTAATAATCGTGAAAATAACTTTGTTATGTTTCCCTTTTTTGTGTGCAACACCAAGCACAACAATCTCGACATTTCTGTTTATTAGTTGATAAGCAGCAGGTATGAAACCAACGCCCGCAATCATTACTGCAGGCAATCCAATCAATCAGAGGAATATCTATTGACGGCTCCTCGGCTCCACATACAAAACAAATGCTGTCATTTACATCCTTTTTTATTCCGTTTACTTTTTTTAAGGAAACTGTTTTTGATTTTTTTGTTTTGTTATGATCCTCCAACGGTGGAGACTTTAAACTTTAAAAGGTCTTGCACGTTTTGCAACAGGACGACCACGAGGTTTGGGCAGTTGTTGAAAAATAACTTTATTTAAGCCTACTAAATCATTACTATTTGAGTTGTCGACAGCGCCTATTAGATTATCTTTATTTGGTGTCAATTGAACATTTTTACATATCGTTGTTGTTAAAGGTAATCTATCTTGAGGCGATTTCAAATCTAAAATGACATTTTCTGCAGTTGAGATCAGTGAAAAGTCAATAGATGATGTTGTTGACTGGTCTGAACGGCAATCAATCGACTGTTCAATGATGTCGTTTGCACGTTCTGGAGAGGGTAAAAACTTATGCAATAGTGTCTTTTCTAATGGTGTCACGTCAAGTGTAGTGCACTTTTCTGGTTGCAATTCATCAATAAGATTCTGCAGGCTAGCATTTAAAGCAAAGTTGTTTTGATACATTATCATCATTTTAAATTTTTCAACTGCGCTAAAGTTTCCATTAAAATTCGAACTTGGTTGATCTGCTATAATGGAAGCTAGATCTTTAAGAACAACCATTACACTGTTAAATCTGTCATTTCTGGTACTTTTAGAAACATCAAAGTTAAATTGTGTCACAGACCCAGTAGAAGAACTAACCGCCATATTTGCAGATGCATCACTGGAGAAATATTGCGATGTCTCTCTTCTCCATCTATGTAAAAAGTTTTTAAAAATAATGCAAGCTTACATAACAAAATTGAACAAAAACCCTACTCAAAATACTGATAATTTTATAACTAAAGCCCTTAAAAAAAATTTTACTATGTAAGAATGTTTTTTTTATTATGATTATTATTTACACTATTTAATGTACATTGTGTACAAGTTAAACAGTATAATTTAACTATATTAGTTATTTCAGTGCTTTGCAGTTTTTCTCCCCAATACTTTACTACGCAATTTACTATGTACATGACAGTATATTCAAGATTACAAGTTTAGTTCGTATAAAATGCTAAGTGACAAAATTAGTATAAATGCTACAAAAAGAACACACCTCGAAGAAACTGAAAGCGGTTGAAAGAGCGGTTCGTTAGTAAACATCCAAACAGCAATAAGATGACGACACGGAATTCCCATTTGAGTTGGCATTCCACAAGAACAGTTAAAGCCTTCTACACATTGAAAAGTGCGTATGTCATTATAACTTACTTTCCAATGGTTTTCAAATTTAATAATTGAATACTTTTTTGATCCTTCAACTTGTATTTGTTTTGCAATTATTCCTGCAGCATAGTCTGTAAAATGTTAGTAATACTCAACAACATTTGGTTGGGGTATAATTGCAGTTTTCATATTCATATCAAACTGACGGTGATGAGTTTCATATGTTCGAACATCCATTATGGCCAGGAGATTCTTTATTAAACCATCTAATGACAGCTGTGCAGAGCCTAATACTCGTTTCAGTGTATGATGAAATCTTTCAATTCTATTGTTAGTCCTATTCTGAAGGTTCATTATGTTGGAGTTGCTAAATGAAGTTATGTTATTTTTAAAGGGAACCCAATTTTCTAAGATGTAATTGTAAAATTTTAATGACATATTTTGGATTTTAAGTAGTTCATTATCGAAGTTGTTACACGATTTAGACGTTAATAAAGTTTCAAATTGTTTAATACAAGACTTTTTTTCGAGTTCTCCGTTAAGACTTAAAAGATACTTATCGGCAGCCTTTAAGACATGAAAATAGCAAATGTTAATATGAATATTCGGAAAAACTTTTTTGATATCATTAATTTCAGCTAAATCCTTATCAACAACAAAACAATTAACACCTGTTGTATCGTTAAGCTCAGAAAATAACTCGAGAAATTTTTCTAAATGAGCTTGGTCTTCTTTAGACAAGACAGCAAATCCAACAGGTTGTCCCAATCCATTGCTATCTTCTATTAGTAACGTATACAATGGATAACGCATTTTATTGGTTTTATATGTTGCGTCCATTTGTATAACTTCTTTATATTACGAAAAGTTAATTTGCTGCTGGACAGTCTGAAAAAATAAAGCCTCAAAATTGTTCTCAGCTTCTGTTATAATGCGATAAATAACCCCGGGTTGTGCAAGGGCACTCCGAATTGTTTCATTAACAGAGCCTAGATTTTTTAACAGTTTTTGTTTTCTGTTATATAAATCTTTTATTCGTTCATGCGATCCTTGCCTATGTAAAACATCCGCTACAAGCGTTGGATTAGCATGCATAACAAGCATACTGTCAATTTCTCCCTGCCGTTCTGGATTTGGCTTTCTAATATCATGATAGAGAGAATATATATAAGAACCAATTTGGTGATTTTTATGCTCTAAATCGGCCTTGGTAACCAGGAATTTATTGAGAAGACGATTATAAGTGACCGTAATTTTAAATTGACAATCCTTTGCAAAGACATGCTGAATTTTTCTTTTGTCGTTTCCTCGGCTTTTAAAATCCCCAAAATGTTTGCATTCCCAATTTAGTTGCCAGTATTTTATATCAGGTGGAAGTTGACTGTTGATACCAACCTATTCAATAGAATAAAGTTAATTAATAAGATATAAAATATCTTGTACACATATAGGTCCTAAAGAGCTTTTTACGCGCTAAGACGCGTAATTAAACTCATGTAGCTCAAGTATATAGTAAGATCGAGTAAATAGTAAAGTTTATTAGTTAGTATTGTTATATTATGTAATATATAACAAAAAGATTGCTAATACTGAAATATATAGTTTAACTGGGAAGCCAAGAAAATTTTTCATCAATAAGAATTCCTAAGAATTCTATACTTGCCTGCTTTTAAATTATTTTTTCATTTAAATAAAGGTTAAATGATAAATCATCGAACTTTGAAACATTTTTTTACGAGAAAATAATCTTGTAAAGTAATAATTTGCAAAAGTGGTGCTAAACGTTTATTAAAGTTGGTTGGGCATAAAAAAAAATGTTCTTGTTTATTGAAATTCGCAGACTATCTATATATGTTGACTGGCTTGTCTAAATATGTCAAATTTGACGACTAAATGAAAAATAAATTTATTGACTAGGGGCGAGGAGGGGTGTGTCAAACATTATCATACACCCTACCCCCTTCTCCCACACACACACACACACTTTAGCGTTGACCTTAGCTGGAACCGCAATTCCACCATTTATAATATTCTAGTCCAAAAAAAAAAAAAATTGGCGTTTAAGTGGTCCGTCAAACGCTGAATATACAACTTTACCGTCAGGATGTGTGAAAGGTAAATTACGTAACGGTTAAATAAGTTATTTATTCCGACAATTAAAAAAACTCCAGGTACACATGTATTAATATTGGATGGTCATAACACACATTTAACATATCAAGTTGTACTTGATATGTTGAATGTGTGTTATGACCATCCAAACATACTATCTTGATTCTTGATATTATAATATCAAGTTAGTATGTTTACCGGCTCCCTCTTCCCACATAATTTATATTTGGGAGTAAAAAAAACGTTGACATAAAAATAGTGGAATATGAATTCTAAATGAATCTTAAATTCTAGAAAAGCTACGACTAGTTGAAGAACTAAAACAAAATATAAAAAAAAGGGCAAACTTGATTTCAATGTTGATAATGAAGTTGAGTTGAATTATTCTAAATGGTTTACCATTTACCACGTTAATTCGACAAATGGTGAAAGTAAAAATTGCAAATGCTGGGTTTGCCAAACATATTTACCAAAAAAATACAAAACTGGCGAAAAATTTTATTTTAATAAACAAATTTTGAAACCTGAAAAATCTCTTTTTTTTAAATTAATTGTTTTGCCAATTGTAAAATAAATGTTTTTGTTATAACAAAATTACCAATACTTTTATTTTTAAAACGTTTTGTTTTAAACAAATTGTCTGGTAAAATTGAATTTTTTTTTTCAAATAAATTCATTTTACTAAAAACCTTTCAATCATTTTATTTATTTTTTTACATATTCAGATAAAGCTCGTTATTCTCAAAAACAAAAAATTTTAAATTATTTCACTATAAAGAAAAATATTTATAAAAAAAAGTCTTCAGCTTTACCCCTTTTATAATCTCTTTGCTATAATCTTCGGCCGACTATATGAAAAGATATATATATATACAAGGCCGGCGCGATGGGGTATATGAACCCCCCCTTCAATGATTTTTTCGTTTATTTAGTCGGCAAATTGGACCCATTTTTACTAGTCAGTCGGCAAATGTAAACCTTTTTAACAAGTTAGTTGGTAAATGTAGACAGTCAGTCGGCAAAATCGGTAGCGCAGTCAGTAAATTTTAAAAAACGAAGACCTTTTTTTTTTTAGTCGGCAAAAGTTGAACTAGCACCCCCACGTGACACCTACTCGCGCCGGCCCTGTATATATAGACTCGGTAAAGTATTTAAAATAAGCTCTTACTGGTTCATCACGTTCGAAAGTTAATAAATTCAGATTACACTCTGGTTCATATGTAAATTATGAGAAATACTCATACTTAAGCAGAACGTGTAAATTATTATAATTTAAACAAAAAAAATTCGGCTAAGTTTGTGTATTTTTACCCGGTTTTTTTCAAACAATACAAACTGAGGTACTATGGAGGTACTATGGAAATAACCTATATATACAATTTCAAAAAAGAATGATCTTTCATGTTTAAAAATTACTAATTAAATCATTATTTAAAATCAGTTTTGCAAAAGTGATTTTTTAGTTTGATAAAAAAAAAAATTATAATAGGTTATTTGTCTGCGATAGGTACATTTGTTTGAACAGTGTTGTTAAACTATACGCCTTTTTTTTTTTCAAAAAAAAACTTTGGGGATTTTGATATGCAATTGCTTTTTAATTAAGCGGTTCGTAGATAGCTCGTCCAAAAAAAAACAAGAAAGAAAAAAGTATATAATGGTATTTATTAAAAACAAAACTACTGAGGACATTACAGCATTATTGATTTTCTACTTTGTTCGTGAAAACGTTTCAAGCTTTACAAATTGTTTTTTTATTTTTCTGTGTTCTATGAAAGCTTTATGACTTACGGTATTATTTGCCACGATATTTCAGCCTCATATAAAAAAAAAGAAAAAAACGTGCGTATTAAAAAATTGACGAACTACACGTTAAATAGTTAATAATTTTATATTATGAAAATTTTAGAGAGGTGTTTGATCAAAAAGCTAGTAAAAGCTGGGAAAAGGGCTTTCAAAAAAAATATATTAAAATAATGTAAAAAGGATGTATTTGGGGTATTGAAAGAGGCGACAAATAAAAACAAAGGTTTTGAATTGACGTTCGACTAATGTTACTTGTTTTTAACATACAACTTCATATTTTTTATAAAGAAAATTAAAATACAACATGTAAAAAATTACAATAAGATAATATTGATAAATATCATAGTACTTTATTTACCTTTCATATATATATTTATATATGTATATATGTATATATATGTATGTATATATATATATATATATATATATATACATATATATATATATATATATATATATATATATATATATATATATATATATATATATATATATATATATATATGTATATATATATATATATATATATACAGTAAATTCCCGTTTACTCGAACCTCCTAGGGGCCGAGGCTAACGGTTCGACTAAACGAATGTTCGACTTAAGCGAAGTAAAACAATTGTTATTGCTTTCAAGGAACTATAGAAAATAGTTCGAGATAACAAAAGTTCGAGTTAACCGCTGTTCGGCGTACCAAGAATTAACTGTATATATATACACACACACACATATATATATATATATATATATATATATATACATATATGTATATATATATATGTATATATAAATATATATATATATATATATATATATATATATATATATATATATATATATATATATGATATATATATATATATATATATATAATAAATTTTTTTTTTTCAATACAAGAGAAAAAATTCAATCAAAAAAATAAAAAAAATATTGTATACTAATTCACTGTGCGAATTAGGTTGTTTATGACTAATTTTAGGTACTAATTCTAAATCTGAAATCCTTTTTGCCTCCTTTATTTTTCTATATTCTTACTTAAAAGCTCCAATTAATCACAATAGAAGGAACATACTAAACTTTTAATCTATCTAACTATTTTTGGAATGGTTCAGGATCATCTCGATCACCCTGCTAACGATATCATGTAACCCAGTACTACCTCCCCCATGCTGTCTAGTAGGGCTTGCTTTTTTAAGGCAAAGACTCGGAGAAACAAACTCTGACTTGAAAGTACCTTGCTTTGGGGCTCTCGATGGAGTAAAAGCTAGAAATGCACCTTAATAAAAACACTCCATCTAGTGCAGATGTTAACTGCATTCAGCTACTGTCTTGTAAATGACCACCTTGACAAATACTTAAAGGGTAAACAGATTCTATTGACCAGTCTCGTACGACTTCTTCAATTGGCTTTACACCCCTTCTTCATTAGGCTGGCACAGATGTATTTGTAATACAGGGTTCATAGCCAAATATTTATACAAAATTCTCTGACTTTTACCTGACTTTTTTGAAAAATCAGACGAATTTCCCTGACCATTTTCAATAATGGTTTTTATAAAATGTTTAAAACTACTATCTACTGTAATGCAAATGTTAAAATTTTACATGCTTTGAATGACAAAACTTATAAAACTTAACTATTAGTTAAGTTGGATATTAATATGGATCTTATTATAAAGAATGACTAAGAATGAATACTAAGAAAAAAATAAGTTTCAGAAAAAATAAATGGGTAGCACCAACAAAAACATAATAGCTTAATTGTAAAGCAAGTAAAATCACAATAAGAATTCCCTTTTCCATGACTATCTAAAAAAATATATATATTCCCTGACTTTTCCAGATTTTCCCTGACTTTAGCCCAAATTTACTAAATTTCCAGGTTTTCCAGGTACAGTACGAACCCTGTAATAGATTGTTTCATTAG